GGTTGTATAATTGGAATGTGATCGAACCATGCTCACAACCTTTCCCATAGGTAACATTGGCCTTTAAATATTCTAGTGTGATTCTCTTATATGTGGGAGGCTTCTTTTGAATAAAGTCACCCCAACCAATGTTATTCACAAGCCAACCAACATCATGCTCAATGTGTAAGGATCGTAAGGCATTAGCACACAAAACCGAGTAGCAACTACTCCTCTAGTAAATAGCCTTTCATACTTCTTCTTATGCTCATCATTTTTAAACACAATGTCATAGTAATCAATTTCTATTGGAGCCTTATGCTTAGGAGTAGAAGAAGAAGATGGAGTTTTACCCTTGAGAGTGGTTGAGCTGCCTTTCGAAGTAGAGAGTCGACTCCTTGGATTAGCGGTCTTGCCTTTCGATGTAGAAACCGTAGGAGCTCTCTTCCTCTTATTTGATGTGGGTAAGCCCCATGAATTGAGTACAAGATCAACTAAGCAATACCCACACCGTCTTCGCGCCGAAAATCGATTCCATTTTTTCACACCCAAATAAAATCTTCAAGCTCTTGAATTTGTGCAATTATTCACTGCAATTGAAACAAATAAGGGTAAAACAATCAATATCTTATGAATCAACCCACCACTCGACTAATTGCTCACAAATTGCCACTTATAAAAAAAAAAAAGTAAAATCGGAACCTAGGGTTCGATGGGTAGCGACAATTTAAGAGCAAAAGAAGATCGAAATTTAGATGATATTGGAACAATTTTATGGGAAATTTGTCAAAGAATTGCAGTTTAGAGCAATAAAGAAACAAAGGATATGATAAACAAAGAGCAGTCGTGAATATAAGGGCTGCGATGCGTCCGATTGCTGATGAAACTTTGTTTCCTTTTAATTTCTTTTGGGGTAGCAGATATGGGCCACGATCCGGTCGTTGCAATGGTTGAAGGGCCACGACCATACCGTGGTATCTACTGTCTTTTTCTCAAACCTTGCCCTCTTTTTTTTTTTTAATTCAAAATACAAGCAGGATACACCACGGCAATAACGTGGCTTCCTCTTGTTTCCACGCCAAGCCCAATACTCCAATATATATGTGAAATTGCTGCTGCAACTTTGTCTTCTTATATGTCAGCTATTACAATTCCATTAGCAAACCAAATTCCACTCAAACTTATTCTTGCACCTAAATCAAATAGTGGAAGTAAAAGAATTAGTTAGGTAAAAAAATGATAATGATAGTGTTAACTAATTCTATTACTAATACTAAGGTACTAGTACCTGCTAGTCCTACTACTAACTAATAAGCTCTAAAATAAAAACGTACTAACTTCCTTTTTTTTTTTTTTTAAAATAAAAACTAAGAAAAAAAGAAAAGAGGATTAGAAAAAGAAAATAAAATAAATTGGGTTGACTCCCAAAAAGCGCTTGTTTATAAGGTCTTAAGCTCGACTTCCTTTTTGCTCAATTATGTTGTGATGGGGTTGCGAGTGTAATATCCACTCTCTCCTCAATTGGGTCTCCAACTCGGTAATGCTTCACCCTTTGACCATTAACTTTGAAGGTACCCCCAGTTGCATTCCATAGCTCAATAGTACCATAAGGATAGACCTTCCGAATTTTAAATGGACCTGACCATCTAGAGCGGAGTTTACCAGGAAATAATTTCAGTCTTGAATTAAATAGAAGGACTTGATCTCCCTCCTTAAATTCTCGACGTATGAGACCCTTGTCATGCCATCTTTTTGTTTTCTCTTTGCACAACTTAGAACTCTCATAAGCATCTAGACGGAGCTCATCTAACTCGTTAAGTTGTAACAATCTTTTCTCACCTGCTGCTTGAGCATCAAAATTAAGGCTCTTAATTTTAATTGCCCAATATGCACGGTGTTCTAGCTCAACAGGGAGATGGCAAGCTTTACCATAAACTAGTCGATATGGGGTTGTACCAATTGGCGTTTTGAATGCCGTTCGGTATGCCCATAGAGCATCATCAATTTTTATCGACCAATCTTTTCTTGTCCTAGCGACTGTTTTCTCCAATATAGATTTTATTTCTCGGTTGGACACCTCAACTTGACCACTAGTTTGTGGATGATAGCCAATTCCGACCCTGTGTTGCACTCCATACTTTTTTAACATTGCTTCAAACCGATTCTCCAAGAAATGTGTTCCTCTGTCACTAATTAACACACGTGGTAAACCAAAACGAGGAAAAATAACTTTCTTAAAGAACTTACTTACCACCCGAGCATCATTGGTTGGAGTAGCAATTGCTTCAACCCACTTTGAGACATAGTCAACGGCTACTAGAATATATCGATTACCATAGGAAGAAGGGAATGGTCCCATGAAATCTATCCCCCACACGTCAAACAACTCGACCTCAAGTATGTTATTGAGTGGCATCTCGTGCTTTCTTGAAATAGTACCAGTCCGTTGACAACGGTCACATGCTTTAACATAGGCATAGACATCCTTGAACAAAGTTGGCCAATAAAAACCACATTGTAAAATCTTCGCGACCGTTTTTGTAGGACCTGCATGTCCACCGCACGGTAAGTCATGGCAATGAGAAATAATTTTGCTTACCTCACCTTCCGGAACACATCTTCTTATCATTGCATCCGCACATAGCCTATAAAGGGATGGATCGTCCCAAAAATGTCGCCTTGCCTCATAAAAGAATTTCTTCTTTTGTTGAGATGAGTAACCATGGGGCAATGTACCTGTGGACAAATAATTAGCTAAGTCATCATACCAAGGTGATTCAATTTGAGAAAGTGCTAATAAATGTTCATCAGGGAAAGAATCATCAATGGGGAGGTCATCTTCATTCCCCTTATCGAGAAGGAGGCGAGAAAGATGGTCTGCAACGACATTCTCAGTCCCTTTCGTGTCCCTTATCTCGATGTCATAATCTTGTAACAGAAGGACCCATCGAATCAACCGCGGCTTGGCGTGACTCTTAGTCATCAAATATTTCAATGCAGCGTGATCTGTGTGAATTATCACCTTCGAACCAACAAGGTATGAGTGAAACTTCTCTATTGCATAAATTACTGCTAGCATCTCTTTTTCAGTTGTGGCATAATTCATTTGAGCAGAATCAAGAGTTTTACTAGAGTAATAAATAGCGTGAAGTTTTCTATCCTTCCGTTGCCCCAAGACGGCCCCTATCGCATAGTCACTAGCATCACACATAATCTCAAATGGTAGGATCCAATCCGGGGGTTGCATAACGAGAGCGGAGATCAAAGCTTCCTTCAACCTGTTAAAAGCCTCAAGACAAGCATCAGTAAATACAAATGGGGCATCCTTGGCCAAAAGCTCAGTTAGAGGTCTAGCGATTTTCGAAAAATCTTTAATAAATCGCCTATAAAATCCTGCATGACCAAGAAAGCTCCGAATTCCTTTTACAGAATTAGGAGGGGGTAGTCGCTCAATGACCTCTATCTTTGCTTTATCAACCTCAATACCCTTATGTGACACCACATGGCCTAGAACAACTCCTTGTTGTACCATAAAATGGCATTTTTCCCAGTTCAAAATTAAATTGACTTCTTTACATCTATGGAGCACCTTTTCCAAATTTTCAAGACATACATCAAAAGATGTTCCATAGACAGAGAAGTCATCTATAAAAACTTCCATTGAATTTTCGATAAGACCCGAGAAAATTGCCATCATACAATGTTGAAACGTGGCTGGAGCATTACATAATCCAAATGGCATTCTTCGATAGGCGAAGGTGCCATAGGGACATGTGAAAGTAGTATTTTCCTGATCGCATGGACAAATGGGAATTTAAAGAAACCAGAGTATCCGTCCAAGTAGCAGAAAAAGGAATACTTAGCCAAACGTTCAAGCATCTGATCAATAAAGGGAAGGGGAAAATGATCCTTCCGGGTGGCCTTATTCAACCTCCTATAATCAATACACATTCGCCAACCTGTAACAGTTCTAGTGGCAATTGGCTCACCCTTGTCATTCTTGACAACAGTCATACCTCCTTTCTTTGGAACTACTTGTACAGGGCTAACCCACTTACTATCTGAGATAGGGTAAATTATTCCTGCAGCAAGCAATTTAAGAACCTCTTTTTTAACTACCTCCATCATATTTGGATTAAGTCGTCTTTGAGGTTCTATGGAGGAGGTATGATCATCCTCAAGAATTATCTTATGCATACAAAATGAGGGATTAATACCCTTAATATCATCAATGGTGTACCCAATAACACTTTTGTATTTTCTCAAAACAGTGAGCAGTTGCTCTAATTTCATGTCATTGAGCTCATCATTGACAATAACAGGATATGTATTATTCGGACCGAGATATTCATATTTAAGAGTAGAGGGAAGGGGTTTTAACTGTACCTCGGGAGGCGTAGTACTCTCCCTAACACTTGATACATTAAGGACTTCCTTCACTAAAGCGGCGGTTGGAATTGCTTTTCCTTCCTCAAGTAGCCGCGTGTACTCCCTTGTTTCCCAATCTTCCTCATTGGCACTTCCCATCAACACCGCTTCAAGTGCATCATCCTTTTTAATTAAGGGAAGTTGCTCACGTTCTAAATCATCAAGAACATCCACTTGGCAAATAGTCTCTCCCATGGAAGGAGAACCCATAGCATTCAAGAGTGAATACTCCATTTTCTCGTCTCCTACCTCAAAAGTGAATTTTCCATTCTTCATATCAATGATTGCACCTGCAGTGGCTAAGAAGTTGCTTTCATTATCAACAAAGAGAAGCCTCCTTCTGTATAGAGAAAAGGGAGAATGTGTTTATTTACTAAGGAGTACTTTATTACAATGTGAATCAAATTAGGGTGAAAATTATAATAAGGGTAATATGGTCTTTAGCCATTTAATTAGATTCTGCATTTAGGTTATTTTGTACTGCATTTAGAACTTAACCCTTATACAAGCCCCAATCACCCCTACTGTAGCAATTTTACTATTCCTTATGAACAGGAGATTGACGCTTCTGCCCTCCCTTGCCATTAGCACCCTTCCCTGATTGACCAGATTGACAGGGGTGGTTCGGTTTTTTTGTGCAGACATTTTAGGTGTTCAAAGTGGGCTGATGCGTGGCATTCATCCTCTTGGTCTTTTCGGGTTGCCCATTTCTCTCTCCTGCTTTTCCTCCTCTCATCCTCACTTCTAAGCATCCTCAAATTTCTCTCTCTCTCCTCTATTGAAGCGCACTCTGAGTTCTTCATTAGTGTGCACTCTGAGTTCTCCATTGAAGCCTACTTTGAGTTTTTCGCCGGTGAATTGGATTTTTAACTTTTAAGCCCGGCGTTTTCTGGGCGTTTATTGTCTTTCCTTTGTTTTTTTTCGCCTGATTTCGAAATTCTAGGGTTAGGGTTAGGGTTTTTGGTTGGTTTTCAAGATACTCAAATCTTGATTTGCTTTGATCAAAATTCTTTATCTTTTTTGATGAAGTTGAGTTACTGGGCTCATTTCTTCTGCTGTAAATCGGCTGAATTGTAGTTTGAAGCAATGTTTACACCCCAGAAGAAGGTTTTCACGGGTTGGTCTTTGTCGCCGAGGAGAGAGAATCAGAAAACTCCAGTGCCGAATTCTAATTCTAGCGCACGAATTTTTGAAAATGGAGGTGCGATTGTTGTTAGGGATGGAGACGATCTCTTTGGATGGAAGAAGCTTGAAAATGAGGTGGGTTTATTTGTTAATTATACGGAGTATCTGTTTTATCTTAATTACTTAATTTCCCTGTTTTTTTTTTCGTTTTTTGCGTGAATTATGATTTTTTGCTCACCTGGGTTTGCTCTGTTTTTACTTTATTTTTGTGGGTCTTACTTTATTTTTTATTTTTAATTCAATGAATTTTAGTATTTTGTGCTCTGATTTGAGTAGATTTGTAGTTTTGCTTAACGATATAAGTTTGTCTGAAGTATAATATTAATGAATGTTGGGTCTACTTGAGTAAGGTTAAGAATTAGTTGTTTTTGCCGTATTTTAATTGGAATTCCCCACTCAAAAAAAGAAGAAGCTTGAAGCTGAGTATGTATTGTAGTCAGTGAAGTGTTGGGTGTAGCGGATGTCAGGTGCATTGGGTTAATTGCTTCTTCCGTTGTACCAAAATGTCGATCGACCTTGAATTGTTAAGGTATGGTGAATATAAGGTGGTGTGATTTGTGGTCTTTTTCGGCGAAAATTTAGGAACTTTGGATATTATTTATTATGAAAAACTACTTTATCTAAGAGAGAGTGATAATAGCCCATTTTTAGGAGTTTTAGATCGTATTGTAGCCCCATTGCCTTGTTTAGTTGTTTTTATGGGCTATAATTGGATTTACAAAGCTGGTTTGCTGCTTAAATAGATGGTCATTGATATAGGGAGCAGCTAGGGTTTTTTCTTTTTTCTTTTATTCAATAATCTTTAAAATTTTCACCATCTAGGGTTTAATTTCACTCTATCGTTGATTTAGTCAAATTAGGATTCTTCTTAGGTGGATTTCATGTAATTTTTGGACTATTTTTGATGAAAGAGTAGTGAAACTGTGATGAATTTAGGTTGTTTGTGACTTTGCTCTTTCATTGATTTTTCAATCGAATCATAGCAAAGCAAGCAAGCAATCACCATGCCTTCCATAATTTGCTCCTCGAAGTACCAATTCGTATGGCTTTGATTTTGCTTTATTTCATTTTTCATCTTCAGCCAATCCTACTGATTAGGTTTTGTTTACTCACAGCCTTCTCGATACTTCTCTTATGGGCACGATCTTCTTCTTCAATTTTTTTTTTCCAATTTTTTCTTATTTTATTTGCTCGTGAAATGATGAAATAGGTTTTTTTTTTTTCTGTATTTTGGTATGAAATAGGTTTTTTGTTCTGTATTTTTTCTGATTTTATTTGCTGGTGGATTGATGAAACAGGTTAATCGAGTTGTTCGATTTTTTATTTTTGCTAAATATTTTTATGATTTAATTGGTAGTTAAATGATCAGAGAACTTGAAGGCTATGAGGATAAATAATTGTTTATAGTAATCAATTTTCAGTTTGGTTTTTGTGGGCATTTCTTGTTTTAGGTAATTTGTCATTTGGCTTGGCAGCAATTTGATGGGTGTGTTTGCATGTTGATATTTTCTTGCTCCTCAAATGCGCATCTCTTTCAGATTTGGTTTGACGCCATGGTTGATTTTTCCCTTGCTTGAATAGCCACACCAAATATATTGTTTGATGCTATGCCGATATGAGCCTCCTCTGCCATTTTTAATTTTTTTAATTTATTTATTTATTTATTTATTTTTAAGGTAGAACTCATTATTTACTAAAAAAAACAATTAGATGATCTGAGCCTCCTCTCAGGCTCTCAACTTACGAAGTTGCTCAGGTATTTTGATTTTTAATTTTTTCGATTTATATTCTGATTTGCGATTTGATTGATTTGGTACTGTTTAGCATAGTTTAGTGAACCTATCACTTTATTAATTCATATCTCATCTGAAGAATAATCCGATCAACGGTTAACTTCGGAAGCCACTTAGAGCAGCCTTTGTTGTGCCGACTTAACATGTCCATAATGTTGACATCCCTGCCTCCTGTTTTACAGATTTGAGCCTAATTATCGTCTCTTAAGATGATTACATTTAGACTTCTCTTTGTGTTGATTCATGTCTTCTAGCAAATTCGAGTGCTAATGTTATTGAATCAAGAATGTGAGACTAATTGCATAGGAAATGATAAGATATAAAGTGGGGTTCTTGGGTTTAAGAGTTTTGGTATTTAAAGTTTGAATGCAATTACTAAATTCCACCCCCCCCCCCTTTTTTTCTTTTGCCTAATAGAATAAAGAAGTAAAAAATAACTCTTTACAATCATTGAATTTTTAAACCGCCTTTTTCGTTTTTTGAATTAATATAATGGTGTTGTGTATATAGTTCTTACATGCTTTTTTTTGTGTTTTTTATTTGGCCCTGCAGATGCTGGATTATAATGTTCCAGGAGGTGAGGAAGTTCTATCCTTGTCAATTTACTCAATTTTATATAAATGCTGGGCCATGTATGGAACATAAAGGGTGTTTGGCATTTGATTCTTTGCTCTATCTTGTGTTTGTTCTTTTGGAAGGAAAAAAAAAAAATTGTTTTAAATGTTTTATGGTCACCTTGTTTTTTTATTTTACTTTTTTTTTTCTTTTTATGATATTAAGGAAATAATTGTTTTAGACAAAGTATTTCTAATGAGTGACAAGAATAGACAAAAATAAAGTTATTAATAAGTTCCTCTAATAGATTTATGATGTGTTGTTTTAAAATTTCCACCGAATGATGTGGTGGTTATAAAAATTTGAAATTCAAAAGGCAATTTGAGATATGTCCTTCATCTTTTTATACTTTGATATTTTTGTTTCAAACTTGTTGGAAGAATAAGATATTGAAGATATTAATGTCATAAGGAACAAGTAGAGTATCTAATTTCAGAAGATTGAGAAACCTAATTCAAACAACACAAGCTTTTTGGGTCTTTCTTTGATTTTTTCTGGGTTTGTTTTGTTTTGTTTTGGTGAAGTGAGGAGAAAGAAAGTTTCCAAGTGTTTATAATGGTGACCTCACCACCTTCATCTGCTCCAGATGGTTATGGATCTTGGCAGAAAGCAGAAATCTTTGGGTCTTTTGTGAAATGGAGATCTTCTTTATTCACACTGCCGCCATTTCAACCGTCTAAGGTAAGACAGAGTAGCACCTCATTTGCTTCAGAAAAATTCCATGGGTTGAGAGCTCAAAGCTGCTCAAACATATGGCTTTCTCAAATTATCAAATTGCTCTTTGAAATAATTTGTTTTCTAAACTTTATGGATTAGATCTCTATAAAATAATAAAGTTCAATATTTTCCCCAAAATTTACTGGTTGTTGGTATTGTCAATTTTGTGAAACGCAGCTTTTTTTTTTCTAACTTTTATTAACTTCTTGTTGATAATCTTATTATTATCTATTTTGCTTATATTTCTCTACAAAGTTATGATTTAGATTGATATTGTTTGTAATCTTTCAATGTAAAGGAGTATAAGTTTTATTGATGAAAAGATTAAAAAAAATATCTACTGCTATAGCCTTTATTACATTAGTTTTGTGTCACTCTACACAAGCTGACCAAACAAAACCTTTCTCCTCTTTGGGAGTTTAGACTTTGGATATCTGAATAATTTAGATTTAGATTAAAATGTAAAGAGAATGAAGAAAATTTTGCTTGTGTTTATGGAGGAATGGAAACAACAATACAATAGAAGTCTCCCTGTTCAATTTGTAGAATCCAAAGGCAGAGCACTTGCCATATTGGGACAATGTGTATAACGGCTCAACTAGGGATTTGATAATTGGGTAAAACATTTGGAATATAAATTTTAGGAGAGGCCATGATCTTCAGTTTAAGTTCTAATGAATTATGATTGAACAACATATAAGATTTGAGTTTCTATAAGTTTTATTCATGTACCGTGTCATTGCTTGCGTCAACTGTAGTCTGTAGGCAGTACCTCTTCATCTGCTTCTAATTACTATATATTTGATTCGTTTTTTCCTAATAAATTTTGACCGGCAAATTTGATTATCTCCTTACTTATCTTAATAGAAGATATATGAGAAATCAAATCATAGTATATATAATGTAACGTGTTCCGTACAATGATAAAGTTGACATGTTAGCATGATATTATACACTTGCATTGTCTCAAGAGCAAAATTGTTTTTCTCCTCCCTGCTAAAAAATTGTGGCATGAGTTAATTAATTCTACGATTTAGAGATTGTGAAATTTGATTTTGAGGTTTCTATACTATCTCATGCATAAAGTTATACCTTTTTTTTTTGGGTTTTTTCACATTGCTTTCCTCAAATATGACATTTATTTATTCTGTATGGATTTTCTTCGGCAGATTCTTCGATTCACTTTCAATTCCCTGTTTTGCTGTGATGGATATATTTACATGTCACGGGCGCAAAAGTAGTTATGATCTCATCTGGTGTGATCTGTAAGCTAAACTTGAGTCTTCAGCCTCTTATATTTCTTGCAGCATGAGCTTGATGCATTGCTAGGGATGACCTATTTATCAATGCTCTTACGAACTGCAAGTTCTAAGCAGTAAGCACTCATACTCCCAATTTTCTTTAATTGTACACTTGTAGTAGACAGATGATGGGTGGGATTAAGATGTTATCTTATTCTAGAATGAGGAGAAATTGATTCAAATGGCTTTATGATTGCAAAATTAGACATTCCATGATCCTTATGCCACTGAAATATGTCCTTCTTTGCATGTACAGTACATAATATATTAAATTTCCTCTTTGAGCCTCTGATTTTAATCTCTTTCCCTCTCTAATGATAATATATGAGTAGTTCCAATTGCCTACATGTATTTTAAAATTAGCCTACATGTATTTTTAGAATTTGTTCCAATTTTCTTGTGTTGGATGTTCAGGTTTGGATCAAATTTATACTTTTATAGGGGGTTGAGACAATTTTAAGTTGGTGGTCAATTATAATAGTTGATAAGAATTAATGTCATATCACTATAACTACAGATGAGAAAGAAGAAACAAAGACAGTCGTGGAAAACAAGAACGTGGCAGAAATTATTAAGGAATGGTATCTAGGCAACATTGGCTTTTGCATCATTCAAAAACGGTACTTGCTAAACTTCTTAGTTATTGATTCTGTGTTAATTATGAGTTAGGTCCTGCGAATTGCTCCTTCGTAGCCTTATTATTAGTTGTTAAATTTGAGATATATTTGTGAGTTTAACGGCAACTAATTACGCATTAATATGATAACGATTCTGTGGTGTTAATAAAAGGGATTATTTCTTTTTCCAAGAGGATGATTTGATTATTGAGATGCAGGTGTCAAGTTATAAACCAGTTTTTAATGAGTTTAAATTGGTCATTAGTTATGAATTAATTATGAGATCGAATCTAGAAATTGGCACTTCATCAGCTTATTAGTTGTTAAGAATCTGATATTTGTGACTTAGACGGTAGCTATTATGCTTGTTCAGTGTTAATACAAGTGGATTAATTTAAATGGCAGCTGTCATGCTTGTTGAGCTTATTACTACTTTATGCAAACTGGTTTGACACAGTTCTTTGTTTGGTGCTTTAACAGGTCAGTCTTTGGACCAGTGGCTTTGGGAGGGCCAAATTGCTTGTTGTTTAACAGTTTTTCATGTGAATATCTTGTAAAAATTATAAACACTTGTAATTGTTTAAATAGTTATATAGATATTTTTGTGTCTTCTCTATTGACATTATGATTCTCTCGACACAAAAATGAGTATTTGGTTTCATACACTGGATTTTGATGTTGTATCGCTAAATTTATATTTTTCTTTGTTGCTTCTTTCGATGGGAAATATCAAATATGAGCAAGATGGGAAATATGGGTACTTGGTTTCATACACTAAATACCATGAGAGGAGAGCGATATAAAAAACATTGTAAATCATTTTCATTGTAAGAAGTATTAGGGTATTGTAGACACCCATTTGTGTCTCCCCAAAACCAAACCCAGTGATGAATACCTTTCGCGTCGAACCATAATCGAATAAGGTGAAAGTGTGAAAAGTCTAGTGTTGCTGTTATTTTTATTTAAAAATCTTTCTTTCTGTTTTCGAAAACCCACCCTGTTTTATGAAAACTTCCAATCCAGTTTAGTTTAGTCCATGATAAGGGTCCAATAATGGTGTAGTTGGATGGGGCACGAAAAGACCTTTCCAACGATATATTATAAGCCCAATTTCGATGAATAATGAGGAAGTTATGGCCAAAATACTAAAATGGGTCCAAACCGGATTTTACCTACGACCCAATGATCATGAGGAGGGTCCAAGGGTTTAATCCTATTCCTAAACTAATTAGGATTGATTAGAATCTTCTATAAGATTCTAACAGATCTTAATTATCCTTTTTTGAAAAGATAAGAATAAGAATTTGATTTAAATAGAACTTTCCTTTTTTTAAAAAAACTTTCCTTTTTTAAAGTCCTAATTCTATTCAGATTTAAACATGTTCAAAGACATTCAAATATTATTTTCTTGCCTCATATTTTTTATCCAAATTTTATATGGTTGGATAGATCTTGAAAATATCTTTCCAATGATATATTATAATATTAATTCCGAGCTTTAACGAAAAAAATATGAAAGAAATACGAAACTCTATCCAAAACTGACACCGTCCTACTATTTTGGCCATATCTTTTTATCTACAAAATATATTAATCTCCAATTGCATTAGAAAGTAGACTTCAAGAGCTTTCCAACGACATATTATATGACTTATTTGGACTTCTGGATCAAAAGATATGATAAAAACAAAATTCGCAAAAACTGCTGCTACGAGTTTTATTTCGATTCGAATTTGGATTCTTTTCTTAATTCTTCGACCCTCTTTTTTCCTATAAATAGAGGTCACATCTCCCCTTTTTCAAAACAACTCTCATCAACAATAAATTCACAATCACCCAATTCTCTCTATTCTCTCTTGAGCAATATAACTTATTCTTTCCCTCTTGTTTTTCTAAACTAGCTTTTATCAAATACAATTCCGCATACACAAGATCTTGAAACACCTAGCCAAGTTCGAAGTTGCCTCCGCCCTAGACGTGAAAGGTTTATACTTTTCTGAGGGTTTGGTCCCAAATCCAGTCTAAACTTTTTAACTCTTTCTTTCAATCATCTAATTTAATTCTTTAATTTTATTATTTTCATTGAAGTTTACTAACGCGTGTATTTTGTTATTAGAAAGAGGTATGAGGCATCAAAGTATGTAATCTTATTGCTCTATTCTTGTAGAAAGCATGTTTATATCGTTTTAATTCCTAGTATCATGTTAGGATGTCTTTAATGCTTTCTAGTATCATGTTTAGGGTGCCTTTTATTCTTTTTAATATCATGTTAGCATGTTAGTACCATGTTAGGTTTAAAGCTTTGATCTTTAATGCTTAGTGACATGCTAGGATTTGTTATTAATCTTGTTAGTATCATGACTAGGATCTTGCTATTATTATTAAGCTTTATTATTAACATGATTTTTATTATTATCATTTATGATTATTATTATGATTATTTATTATGCTTATTATTATGTTGCTTGATATTTATTATTTATTGTTATTGCTTGATCACGCCTTTTATGCTTGTTTAAAGGGAATTTGTACTTGAAATCACGCTTAATAAGATAATTAATAATTTGGTTTAGGCTAATGTGATTTTAATTCAAGTGATCGCCAATAATAGTTTTATTTGTGCATTACTATTCAACCAACATAGATAAACAGGTTAAGGGTTTAATTTAATGTTTGCATGTTAGTAAAAAAGCGCACATGAATACGAGTAGAATAAAGTAGAGGCCTATTTTATAGGGCGAGTCCTTTCTTTTGTAGATTGGATTCGTACCCTCATCCCCGAACCCTATTTGGTTCAAGACCTTATGGAGTTGACGATCTCCTAGATCGTTAAGGGGTGTAACCTTCACCTCATGATTGGTTTACAAGTTCCTAAAACTTGTTGGCGACTCTTTTTGCTCTCTTTTCCTTCCCTTTGGACGCCACCATACTTTAGTGTATGATCACAGTGGGGTTCAAGCTTGGGGTTATGGTCCTGGAAATATTCCCTACAGGTATGTTCGGATTGACTGAGCTAAGCTGAACTAAACTGAACTGAACTAAATATTTTATGAGAGGAGAATATTAGGAACGGAACTGAACTGAACTGAAAATAATCTAATTTAAAGAGAACATGCCCTTACATTCCTAAGGTTTTTGAATTTTAAATTTTATTTTTTTTCTAATATATATCACATAAAAAGTTTAGGGAAATTAGCTTAGGAAAATGAAATTAGTTTAGGAAAAAGGTTTACAATACGCGAGACAAAAAAGGAGACCATATAATAAATACTATCATTTAAGAAAATTATGGCAATTAATTAATTTATCTAAAGAAATAAAAAGAGAGGGTGGTCCCTTAAGAAAAATAACTTATGAAAATAGGGTCAATTGGCTTTGGAGAGATGAAAGACCAATTAAGAACGATCAAATTAGAAAATTAAGACAATTAGCATAGAATAGAAATTAAAGAGAGAAACCACTTCAGAAAGATCACTTAAGAAAAATAAGGCAATTAGCTTAGGAATAAACTTACTAATGAAATGATGGACCACTTTAACTAATTAAAATTTCTTAAACTAATTTCTTAAGAAAACTCACGAGAGAGAGAGAGAGAGAGCATTTAAGAAAAAAAAAATTGAGAGAGACCACTTTAGAAAGATCACTTAACAAAAAGAGGGAAATCACTTGAAAGATTACTTATGAAAATAAGAAAATTAACTTAGGAAAAAAGTTACTAAAATGCTTAAAAAGAAAGAGAGACCACTTAAGAAATTTTACTTAAAAAGAAAAAATACTCAAGAAGAAAGATCACTAAAAAAAAGAAAGATAGCTTAAAGCTCAGGGTAAATAGTTTAGGTAAGAATCTTAGGGCAATTAGCTTAGGAGATTAAAAGAAAGAAACCATTAGTGAGAGAGACCGCTTAAGAAAGAAAAATCACTCAAGATAAAGAAAGATCTCTTATGAAAAAAGAAAAAGATCACTAAAGAAAGATATATAACTTAAGAAACTAAGGCAATTATACACAATTAGTTTAGGAGTAAAACTTAGGGCAATTAGGGTCTGTTCTGATTGACTGAAATGAGCTAAATTGAACTGAACTGAACTGAAATGAACTGAACTTATTGGAGCTGAACTAAACTCAACTGAACTGAATACTTTATGAGAGAGGAAAATTAAGATGTTAAAATGGTCCAAGTAGCTTTCATTTTACCAATCCTCCAATCATCTTGTTTGCATCACCCAGTTTGCCAATCCTCCAATCGCCTTGATCACACCACCCACTTTGCCAATCTTCCAATCACCATCATCGCACCACCCATTTTGTCAATCTTCCAATCGCCCCCTCAAACCAGTGTGATTTTTTTATTTTCATTGATTTTAATTTATTAATTATGATAATGAATTATTTATTAAATGTTCGTTTGATACACTTTTCCTCAAGTACGAGTGAATTAGGTTTGAGATCGAAGTGAGTTTTGGTTTTGAAGGATTTTTTTTTCTCTTCTTATAAGATCCGAGACTTCTATTAAAGCATTGAGCTTTCTCTCCTCCATTGAAGTTTATTTTCCAGTCAATGAATTTCAATTTTAATTTGGAAAATAAGGTATTGCCAATCTTCCAATCGCCCAAATCACTAGAACCAGCTTGCAATCCTCTAATCGCCTTGATCGCACTACCAAGTTTGTCAAATCCTCTAATCGCCTTGATCACAACACCAGTTTGCAATCCTTCTATTGTCCTGATCGCATCACTCAGCTTGCAAATTCTCTAATCGACCCCCTTACATCAGTATAATTTCCTACTTTTCATTGGTTTTAATTTATAATATTGATTGGGTCTTGTTCAATTTATTAATCATTTTAATTAGTTATGATATTGGATTGTTTATTAAATGTTTCATTTTATGTAGTTTCCTCATGTACTATTGAAGCAGGTTTGATAAATGAGTTTTGGTTTTCCTCTTATAAGATCCGAGACTTCCATTAAAGTGACAAACTTTCTATATCCTCCATAGAAGTTTATATTTCAACCATGAATTTCAACTTCAATTTGGCAAATTGGATGTTGCCAATCTTCCAATCTCCCTTATCGCAACACCCATTTGCAATCCTCCAATTGCCCTAATCACACTACTCAGTTTGCTAATCTTTCAATCGCCTTGACCGCACCACCCATATATTTTGTTAATCCTCAAATTGCCTTGACCGCACCACCCATATATTTTGTTAATCCTCTAATTGCCTTGATCGCACCACTTTGTTTGTCAATCCTACAACCACCATGATCGCAACACCCAGTTTTGATAATCCTTAAATTGCCCTGATTGCACCACCCAGTTTGACAATCCTCCAATCGCCTTGATTGCACTACCCAGTTTGTCAATCCTCCAATCACCGTGATTGCACCACCAGTTTGCCAATCCTCCAATCGCCCTGATCTCACCATCCAATTTACCAATCCTCCAATCGCCTTGATCGTACCACCAGTTGCTCAATTCTCACACCCCCTTTATCATAAGTAAACTGATAAAATAATGATTAACATAAAACATAAGCTAATTAAATGATAATGACCAATCAGAGATCGCCAAATTGGGGGACTGCGCGCCATTATTTATGACGATGCAAATTTGTTAACAAAGACATGTTGTATGCATATAGCTTTTTCATTTGAGTTAAAAATATCCTTTCGACATTTGATGCCCCAAGTGATTAATTTTAATTTGTTTAAAGCAAAGCTTTTAAAATTGATTCTAATTCATAACAACTATTTTTGGTACCAAAACATTTAACATCCCATTAAATTTCGAATAAAGAATTTTACAATGACTTCTACTAATTTTGAAACTGTGAGTAATTTATTGAAATTATTTTGCTAATCAACGCACACATATATTACATTAATCATTAGCAAAACAATCCATTCCATCAAATTTATCTTTGTTCAACGCTAATAAATAAACCCGACTCCGTTACCAATACAATATTAGAAATAATCTACACATACAACAATGACTAATTACATATTAATCACCAAGCAAAGATCACCACATTGGGCGCGCGGGCCAACAACTAGTAAGGAATAAAAAGAAAAACTTTTTAATGGTCTTCTTCATCGCTCCTCCGATCCAAGGTTCAACCCGTTATCGCGAATCCCGCTTTTCTCTCAATTTCCCCGTGGTATGTTCTGTATTCTATCTTTTGAATCGTCGATTTATATTTGAGTTGTGATTAACAAGATACGTAGTCAGATTCTAGGTTTTATGTGCTCAAATTGAATTTATCATGTAACATTTGACTTATTGTGTTCAGTTGAAGCTGGATTTTCCCCCTTCCTTTCTTTGCCCTTTTTAGTTTCACATTTGGGAAATTTAATAAGTGTTCACTGCAAGATGGGATGCTCATTTGTGCTATTTGATTCTCACTATTGGACTTGTCTTTTTTTTTTTTTTGAAAAACACTATTGGACTTGTCTTAAATTGATTATTGTTATGAAATGTTGTTAGAATAACTTTGATTTATGCTAGTTAGATTGAATTCGTTTATTAATATGAAAAATTGTTGAAATTTGATTATACTACCTCCGTTATAAGTAATGGAGTAAATCCAAGTTGATATCTAATATCAACGAGTTTTGTTAATATAAGGGTACCACTGTCAATTCACATTGTGACTTGATTGTTTGTGAGATGGTGGAAGCGGATTACCCACCGTCCACCATCTTCGTTACCTCGATCTGCTCAAGATCTTTGTTTTTCTCTCCTACTTACATTTACCCAGATTTGATTAAAGGAAGGAGATGGTGTCAAATTTTCCGTCTATTTAAGTTCCGTTACACTTTGGAAGTAAAATAGTGTAGCAACGGAGTCCTAGTCAGCATTCCACTAACTTACCAACACTTTTCAAAAAAAGTTCGAAATATTTACAATAATGCCATGATATCAACATGGCTTGTTGATATCTTATATTAATGGGGACTAGCTCTAAGTAATATGCAACGATTTGACATAAAGTAGAGAGGAAAAATGTCTAATCGTTGCACATAACATGTAACGGAGGTAGTAATATTTTGGTACAGTTTTTGGAAATGGGCTTATGAATGTTTGGCGTATATTTTAAGTTTTAGATAGTAAATTCCTCTGGTATAACTCTATAAGCTGGTAAGCTTTGTTTCGGTTAAATTAGAATGTCTCTTAGGATGTTTGACCCTTAAAATTATTCCATATAATCTATATTTAGTATCATAGATTATATGGAATAAGCTGGTAAGCTTTGTTGTTCCATGCCAGATGTGCAAATTTAGATTCAGTATTCTGCCTTTTTCTTTTTGGGTTTTTGGAACATTTATTCTCATCATCCTGTGTGTGTAAGCAGACCTTTCCTTTGTGGATTTTGTTTTGTGAAGTTTGAGTAATGTTGAGAATTAATCATTGGTGGCTAACAAGGAGTAGGTTCAAGTGGCTGACAGGGAGGGAGAGGGAGAGGGAGAGGGAGAGGGAAATTGTTTGCTACTGCTATAATACTAATAGTAATTAGTCATTGGTGCTCTTTATTTGCTATATTTTTTAATTTATTTGAGAAAGTAGTCACATAAACCACAAACTAAAAGTGATCGAGCCTTCATTAGACAATTGGTTAAGCAGCAGGGTTCCTTATAATTACCCGAAAGCATATATCCAAAGAAAAGGGGAACTAAATTAAAAAGAGCGTCTAGAAAGTCCCACCCCAAAATGAGGTTGCCCTTCAAATCTCATGTGTATTTAAGGCTAGAGAATTAGTGATGCACTATTTATGTGGTGGGTTAGAGAAATTTTTGAGAAAAATAATGAAGTTTCTTCTAATAGTGTTTTAGGACCGGATTAAATAACGTAAGATGGTTATACCCTTATTCTGGATGACATACACATGATTAACAGATTCATGAAGAAAAAAAGTAATGTAATTGACAAACCAAAATGTATTGCTCAATGAAGTGATGACTAATGATTAGATAGCTAACGAGTAAAGACTAACACCTGGCAAAATTATTATTAAACATATTAGCATTTCAAGTGCTCATAAGTCTGAGGTGACTTTGAGTTAGTTAGCATTGATTGTAACTAAAAGTGAAAGTATTGTAACGCAAGTGCACCTTAGCTTGTTTCTATCTTTAGGGAGGGGGCATTTGGTATGAAATTGGGTATGGATTGGAAAAGAAACAAATAAGATGGAGGATTGAAATCATTTAACTCTTACTTTTTCATTTGTTAACTCTTACTTTTTCATTTGTTTGGCTTAACCATGGAATGGATTCACGTATCCTAGCTCCCCTTATGTTTGTTTGACGAGAGTAAGCGTATTTGTTACCTAAAGTTTTAAAGAGGTAACAAATAGGTGGAAACCATTATCCCTAGGTAATGGTAATTGTTACCTAAACATTCTAACCAAAACTTGGTAACGGTAATAGTTAAATTGAATCCGTTTCCAACCTGAAAAAAAAACTCTTACCAAATATGCTCTTAATATGTGTATTGACCATCCTTGATGGCTTCATTAGCTAGGCTAGCTTCAAGTATAAAAATCATAGTGGATACAATCTAACTTAAAGCTAAAAAAAATATTGTTTTCTATATGCAAGACACACATTAAGTACAATTGGTAATTTATTAAGCTCCAAGTTAGTATTCACAAAAAAGGAACTTTTGGCTTTCATTGCTTTTTAATTGGTAATTTGCTTTTTGATTGATTGTATGTACTATGTAATTGGTGGAATCTCCGTTGTTTTGTGAATAATGATAAATATGTTTGTAATTGCAGGTTATAGTAGTTATCCATTGAAGTGGCTTCTAAGTTTTCTTTCCTCCTTTGAAAACAGCTCTTGAGGTAACATGTTTTTTCGTGATAGTTTAATTTATGTTAATTTATTATCTTTTAAGGTCCATGGAAGTGGCTCAGGATCTTAATTTAGGCAGGTATGAGTTGAATTTCAGGAGATTATAAAATGTTTTGAAAGTTTTTGATAATATTACTGGTATTTTGAGTGACATTTTGGTTGCAATGGCTTGAAATTTTTGATTTAAACTATAGTGGTCCTGAGCCATTCATTCTAGCTAAGTGAGCTAAATAGATCTTTTGTGTTGTGGATAATGTTAATCATGAGTGGAGGGGTTGTTCAAGGACAAAGGAAAAATAATGGGATAGATGATGTTAATGATGAAGAAGAATACTATCAATTTGATGAACTTGGTCAGAAACTGATAGGTTGCATTTTTCAGGCAGTTTGACAAATACATTTGTTGATAGATCAACACTTGGGCAGCATATCATAGGCACATAATAACCATAACAATCAAACATAAATGCATTACTCAGTTTTGAAAATCAGCTCTAATTTCAGCTCTGAAATTCAGTTTTGTTTTCAGCTCTTAAATTTAGTGTTGAAAATCAATTCTGATTTCATATTTGAAATTCAGAACTGATTTTTGTATTGAAAATCAGTTCTTAATATCAGTCATATTAATTATCTCAAGCTAAAGAATGAACTCAGGCTAGAATCAGTTCTGAAATCCTCGTGCTTATCCTTACTCACTTCTTACAAAGGTAGCAAAGTCTCTTTAATATTATAGATATTAATTGAATAAAACTCAATATTTGCTTCAGCTTTGTCTATACCCTTATTAGTGCCATAATTAGTTTCATTCAAGGTTCAAAACAACCTCTTGGGAACTTATAGATAAAGGAGAGGAAGCTTTGACAATAAATTCGTTTTAGCTTGCATTAGCTGCATTTAGTTCTTCACGGGCCATAATGATGCAAAAATCATGTAGAAAAAAGGGTCAATGAATTAAATGAACTTGGTTAGAAACTGATAAGTCCACTAACTTTCAGGCAGTTTGATGAATACATTAGTGTTGATAGATCAACACTTGGGCAGCATATCATAAGCACATAATAATTTTAACAATCAAACATAAATGCTTTACTAAGTTCTACAAATCAGTTCTATTTTCAGTTCTGAAACTCAATTTTCAAAATTTGGTTTTGATTTTTGTTTAAAAAAAATAGAAAAAAATGGTTTTGTTTTCATTTCTAAAATACAGTTTTGAAAATCCGTTCTCCCTCAAATGTTGGTGAGATTTGGGCGCAAAATGAAAGGAAATGGATCTATATCCCCCTTCCCTCACCTCCTTTTCTCTTCCTTCTTGTTCCTTCCCCTCCACTATTGTTATCCAAAAATAATGTAAATTTTTTGAAAAATTTATGAAAGATGTAGAATTTAAATTGTATTTGGGGTGTCAAATAGTTTAGTGTCTTGAATTCATTATCGCGTTGCTCCTTATTATGAGTGATAAGTGAAATGATAGATTATTTTTCATATTTGCTGAGGACATTATAAGGTGGCAAAGTCTCTGTAATATGATAGATTTCAATTGAATATAATTTCCTTGGACATTACGTAAGGCATTTAATTATGTTAAGATCTTCTCTGTTATATAAGTTGTTAATATAGTATACGTGAATTTGTTGAAGGATAGAAAGAAAATGCTGCTTTATGAAGATTTAATTTCCGGAGAAAAGCTCTTTTCCATAGAGGAAGATTATATGTCGGCCTCTGATTATGCCATCAACACTGATATTGCGGAGTACCGTCAAGAACTGATCAAAATTATCATGGAGGTAGATTGAGAATTAATAGGGTTTGACAAAAGATAATTTAGAATGTTTCATTCAATATATAATTGACAATTGTCCTCTTTGATATTGATATTATCCTAGGTTTCTGCTTCAATTACTTTCAAGATACGATGTGCAGCAGTTTCTTATTTCGATAGATATGCATCGAGATATGAGACTTCGGTAAATTAGCTGAACATGTTGGATTTAAAATTAAAACAATTTCTTCTGGTCACTTACGGTTATCTCTTGTAACATTCAATCTATAGGTGGTTCTTGGAAAAGACTGTGAAGTACTTGCTTATACGTGTTTGATTACTGAGGCTAAAGTGGAGAGGAATGATGTATTCATCTATGACTTTGCTGTATGGTTATTTCATTAACTTTTTTTGTTTGCTTATGGTGACAACATTGAGACTCAGGCTGTCTTGTGTGTTATGAATAGGGTGGAAAGCTGCTGGACTTTCTCCAAGTACACATACATTCAGCTCAGGTTGATTTACTCAAGGTACATTTTCATTTTGTGTAAAGTTTGATACGATTCAATCGTGTTTCTCTCACATTTCAATTATATTCATGCATTATAATTTTTAAGCTTGAAAAATCATTTCACCAACCATATGTTGTCTCTTAAGTTTCTCCTTGTTCCTTAAGGCATCTTTGTACTTCTAGTAGTATTCAAAATGTCTTATTACACTAGTAGCTGTAGAGGGATCAACAAAAGGAATCCAGATGGGCATAGAATAAGAGAATGAACATTGTAAATACACTGGAGAACTACTTGATGCTTTGGATGTGATAATAAAGAGAATGAACATTATTTTCTGTTTATCGACAACAAAGTGGATGCATTAAGAGTTCTGGAGGCACTGAACTTCAGAATAGGTTGCAGTGGTAAAGATTAACGAAGAATATACTTAATGCCTATTATAATTAAGAATTTTAGTGGAAGATGATGGCAAGTATTAATGTATTATATATTAAGATGGTTTGGGCAAAGTTAACAACGTCATTACTGCATGTCGTAGTGAAGTAGGGTTAGGGAAAGTAATGAACATATTGGTAGCTATGGCTTTTCCAAATCTGTCCAATATTCCTGGAACATATAGAATAAATTGCTTAAGTAATGGTAAGAAAATGTCTTATTTTGTTTTGTTTTATTTTTTGGATAGATGTGAAAAAGAGAGTCTATCCCCTCTCCTGGGTTTTCTGAGCTACATTAAACTATTCCCTTGCTGCTGCTACCAATTTTCCTGATACAAACAAGTGAGAAGGTTTTATAGAATTAATGATACTCTGAACTTCATTGTTGCAGTCGCTATTTACCTTGATTTGGCGTGTTAGCCATCCTATGATTTCATTACTTGTAGACTTGTAGTAAGAATGTTGATGTGTCTGTATTCATGCTTCCTTGCTTTAAAATCGGCAATGTTGAAAGTTTTTATGCTTGCTTGCTGATTGTTGATGCAGCTGATGGCTCTGTGCCCCCCCCCCCCCCCCCCTCCTCCTCCTCTAAGATCAACACTCGTTCTTGCTTTTCCATGGTAATGGCTCTACTTTTTCCTTTTCTCAAGCACCCTGCTAACTAGGTTCTAATCCTACTACAGATTTCACCCTTTCCAATTAGATGATGCCTCTCTGTTCTTTCTTTCTCGAAACCTGGTGGTTCCTCGGGCTCTATTCTTTCCCTTTCCACATCGCTGCTCACTGTGTCGTTCCACCCTGTTTTTTCTCCTGTCATATCTTCTGTGACACTAATAGATCTTGACTATCGAAGATTGCTTTATTTCTTGTCAGCCAAATTCCCTGCAAGGTATATGTGATATAGTCTAGCAGGTCCATATCGTTGTTATCTTTTTTGTCCAAATAGTGTCTCCAGTTGCCAAACCATTCTTTAAAAGGGACATGCCCTTGGCTCTTCGTATTAATGCCTAATCTCCCTCCTTTCCAAATATGCATTGCGAAACTACAGTTCTTGAATAGATGTTCTAGTATCTCAACATTATCAGCAGCAGCTGTAGTGCAGCATAGCGTGCAGGAAATGTTAATTTCCAATCCTTTGTAATGGACTGACTTTCTGGGATCATAATCTGATTTAATAATGAAAGTAAATAAAGATTAAAGCTCGGATTTTGATTGATAATGGTTGAAAGGTTACAAAAGATAGGATAATAGCTTAAGGCTATCAATCTTCCAAAGTGAGTTTAGCTCACAACTCTCCAAGAAGTGACTTGAGGTCACAACTCTCAACAAGTTTCATCCAATTTTTGCCTACCCTCTTCCTTCTTTCTTCTTTCTATTTATACTAAGGCTACAACTACTAACCTAATAATTCTAGAATTCCCATATTGTCCAGACTACATTTGATACTACTTACATACTAAACTGCCCATAATACCCTCCCCTAAGTTAGTTCATTACACCTCTCCTTTAGAACTCCTGCACCACTGGGAGTGCATCATTGAGGGCCTTTCATAGGCATTTCTGTCTTTAACAGAAGCCCTCTCTATTCTACTATCTTCTTAAAAATGTGGCTATTCTCCTCACAGTTATTTATCATCCCCCCTTTTTTGGATCAAATCATATCCACTTTTTAAAATAAAACTACCCCTTCCTATCCCTATTCCAGATTAGGTGGTCCTCAGCTCCTACTTCCAAAGGTGTAATTGTACCCTGGGTAAAAGGCCCTTTGCACTTGTCAATATCCCAAGTAAGGTTATCATTGATATGCTCTTTCACCACCTGATTATCCTTGGCTAAATCTTTATCTAACCTCCTCAGTTCGTGGCCGTTGACCAGGGATAGTGAATATTTGCTTTACACCTGTCCCTAATATACCCTATCCAACACTCCTCCATCCCCACGATCCTGTATTATTCCTTTCCTACCCTCCAACATTGCTTTTCTTATACTTAGCATTTAAAACCTCTTATTAAGAAGTTAGTATCCGGAATGATTTTCCAACCTTGATTCGCCAAAAGTGCTTGATTGAAAGTTTTAGCATCTTTCATTCCAAGCCTCTTTTGGGTTTGGTGATCAGATTCCAAGTTCTCCAGTAGATCCCTCCCCTCTCTTTTTTCCCCATCCCCCAAAATATAGCTATTTGAGAGTTTATCTTTTTCAGAATAGCCATTGAGCATTTATAAACCAAGAAAACATACGCTCCGAAAGAGGATAGGATAGAATTAATTAAGGTTAATCTATCTGCTGGAGGCAAAATACAGAATTTCAGGCATTTTATCTCTCACTTATCTTAGATAAACTGATCCAATTATTTCTGTTTTCGTCACTTGGTTCTTCCTAGATAAACACCAAAATTGTTTGATCTTCTAAAGTTTAGGATGCCACATAGATTGTCTACCTGTGTCTACAGTTTGGACCTACTAGCATGACTGATTCGTCCTGGTGAATCACTTGACTTAAACACCTTGCAGTAAGTATTAGAAACTTCAGAGTGAGAGTGACCAGTACTGCTCCTCACCCTACATAAAGAATGCCGAATCATCAGCAAAATGTAAATGCGTAATTTCCGGAGCTTGTCGTGCAACTTTGATCCCTGCTATGTATCCTCTTTCAGTTGCCCTCTGAATGAGCCCAGATAACCCCCTCCATACATAGGAAGAAGAATTAGGGAGAGAGCGGGTCTCCTTGCCATAACCTGCAATTCGGCTTGAAATATTTTTCAGTTCTCCTTTTAGAACCCCCGAGTGGGAGACCGTAGTAACACAATTTATGACTACTGTTATCATTCTTCCTGGGAAACCGATTTTTAGTAAAAATTGTTCGAAAAAATCCCATTTAATTCTATCACATGCAACTTTGACCCCTGCTATCTCTCCTCTTTCAGTTTCCCTCTGAATGATACCAGACAACCCCTCCATACATAGGATGAAGAGGTAAGGAGAGTGTGGTCCCCTTGCCGTAACCTGCAATTTGGTTTGAAATACTTTTGATGCTCTCCATTGAATCCTATCATATGCTTTACTCATTTGTGCCTGAATAGAAAGAGCTGGGTAGTTAAAATCATACAGTTTCAATAATTGGTGGCGCAAACCTAACATTACCTGACCGCTTCTCAGGATGTTGCAGTTAAGCTGTTTTGTAAGCTTGAGTGGAATGATGGAATGGGATTCAGCAAACCTTATTAGCGCATATGATTCTATGGTATTTGGGCGCTTTAAGAGCACTGAACTGATTAAAAGATCTAACTACCGTTATGTAACCAGGTGTTGGGTTTGGGTTGGGTGAGTACTGCACATTTTTCGCAGTATACAAAGGTCATAGGTGGGTACTGAAAATACTCTTCTCTTACAGTAGATTATGCTAAAGCTGGATGTGCATTTATGGATCATAATCACACATTATGAATTTGCTTTAGCATATGTAATACTGTGTGACATACATCTTGGCGATCTTGCTATCGACTTTAGTGTCATTGATAGGACTGCTCCACATGCAGATATATTGGGTTTTTATCTTCTATTTTGTATCACTTGTTTCCTTCCAAGACTATTCCGAGTATTTAACTTATCATACCAACGTAAAAACCTTGATAGTTTCTCAATTGTTGAACTGATTTTCGTTCTTGTGAAATGATGCCTTAAATTGTTAAATATTGGATGGCCATAGTCCATGTGAATTTTTTTTTGCAGGACTGATTTGTATATCTGGAATTTCACTAATGTTGATGATTTTGGATTATGCTAGGGGGCTTCATAAATACATTCTACTTATGCTGTGTAGTACGTTTTTTGATGTACATAGACAAGGATTACCCGACAGCTTTTGAAAGTTGGCATATACTTGATAATTTAGCATGATAATTGAATGTATAAGCAAAATCTAGTCACAGTAAAATCTTTCACTGAAAGAGTATGAAAGCATGATATATTTTCTTTTGATCACATCTTATCAATCTTACATTCACTATAATTCATACAATTTTCCAGGTATTGGGTTGGAGGTTACGACTACTTACACCTTTGTGCTTCATTGACTATCTGGGATCAATTTTGTATGAGCAACCTGTCAAGTGCCGCCTGTCTGACGAGATTGAGCAGTTCCTTTTTGAGACCCTGAGTGGTTAGTGATTTTTTGTTTCCCTGTAATACAGGTGCAGAGTCCTTTCAATGTCTTGAGTACCCCTTCCTTTACCCCTCACTCATGTGATGATGAGTCTTCTACTTCACAATTTCAAATTATCAAGCATTAGAGGATTGTTTTTCTCTTTTCAGCCTAATAAATCGGTAGCTTTTAGTTGCATTTCTGAAAATTCTGTCCATAGTTCTGCATGTTTAAGTGAAGAACATGGGGAATTTCAATGGTCCTAAATGATGAGCAGAGGTTGGCTTAATGTGCAGACATTGCATATACGATGTACAGACCTTCTGTTCTTGCGGCTGCAACATTGCTTCTAATCCAGCCACTTGAAAACTATGAGCAGAGGTTGGCTCAATGTCCTTTGGATATGGTAAGACAACTTTGTGCGAGTGTTGGTTCTGTGACATGCAGGCTATATTATTCACTAACATTTGATTGCACTTGGCAGGTTTCACTCCATGAGTGCATTAAGCAAATGAAGACCACGCGTATCTGATATCTGAGAAGTCATGCATTTTTCGTGTCTATGGCAGGATCAATTTGGTTACTATGTGTATTATCAGTTCATGACTGAAGCCTTGGGGATTGATTGCAATACTTTCGTGAAGATGCTTTTGCAGACCTCTTTTGCAGGTTGTCCCTAGATTTTAGTTCACTTGTGCAACTGAATCTCTATATACGGAGTACTTTTTTTCCTCAGATCCCTGGCTTGTCCTTTCAAAAAAAAAAAAAAAAAGATAGATCCCTGGCTTGTGGATCAACGTTAAAAAGCTTCTTATGAACAACATGTGATGCTGGCAACTGAGTAATTGAATTTAGTTAATGTATATGCACTTGAGGCTGTATGGATTTGGGAAAAAAAAAAAAAAAAAAAAAACCGTGTGTCCGTTTGGTATCAATTGGTAAGCAGCTTGATGTTGCTTAAGGGAGGTATCGACTTCGAGCCTCACCGAATGCAGAAAACTCTAGTTGGGAGACGCACCCACCATAAGCCAGGTGTGCCATCCGGGTCGGATCTCGGATGCAGGGTGAACGTGGGGCAAACTCAAATAAAAAAAAAAATTTAAGTAACAAAAACTTTAGGGGTTTTTTTTTTGGAAAAATTACTCCTATTAATCTGAACTTTGCCTCGTCCGCCCAAATTAATTCGAACTTTCGATTATTATCTATCACTCCCAACTTTAAGGGGTATTAAAATCTTTTGCACCCAACAGGTCATCCAACCTGATGTAGCAGGTTACCTAGACACGTGTCAACACGTGATAAGTCTAATTTTTTTTTTTTAAAAAAAAAAAGCAAAAATTAAAAAAAAACTTCCAAACCCAGCCACCACCCCCCATTCCCGGAAAACACTCCATCACCACCCCCACCCCGCCGAAAATTCGCGCCCACCCTCGAAAACCCCTTCCTCGTTGTCGGAAATCGCTGCCCATCCACCCCTTCCCTTCCTCCACCCTCGAAAACCCCTCCCCAGCCCAGCCACCCTCGAGAACCCCTCCCCAGCAGCCAGAATCGGCCACAAATCGGCCACGAACGGTCGAAATCGGCGACGTTTAGCCACGAAATCGGTGACATTTAGCCACGAAATCGGCCATAAATGGTCGGATTAGGGTATTCAGCCCTAACATCGGTCGTTTTCGGCCATTTATGGCCAACATCGACCATTTCGGCCTTCGTTGGTGGTGTTGTGGTGAGCGTCGGTGGTGTTCGTGAGGTGGTGGATGTGGTGTTCGTGTGGTTGGGCAGCTGCTGGTTGGTTTTAAGTTTTTTTTTTTTTTAAAAAAATTTCTCTATTTTTCTCAACCAATTACATATTGACATGTGTGCAAAAAAAATAATTCACAAATGTTTTCCTGATTTACCGGTTGCAAGTTATTTGGGTGCAATAAAAGTTAATACCCCTAAAGTTGGGAGTGATAGATAATAATCGAAAGTTCGCATTAATTTGGGCGGACGAGGCAAAATTCAGATTAATGGGTGCAATTTTTTTATTATTATTATTTTATTTTATTTTATTTTTTATTTATTTTACAAAATTAATTAAAAAAATGAACTTTAATAATCCTAATAATAGTGTAGTTCATCCACGAAACAAAAACTGGCATGTCCCATCTCCATTCTGGTACCTTTCTTGTTTCTTTAAATTTCCATCATTCCCTTCTAAAATTCCTTCATCCATCTTCAAACTATCTGTCAAACTACTTTTCCTTTATATCTATCTGAAAGTTCACATTTTTTTTACCACCACACCTATAATTCATATGTTTACTTTTTGATATTTAATTAATTTTGTAAAACGTCGTTTTATATTTATGAGTAATATAAAATGCTTAATTGCTTATAGATGATAATTTATTTCTTTCTTTCTTTCTTTTTTTTTTTTTTTTGAAGAATTATAGATGATAACTATTGTAGAACCTGTGTAATTGCATGGCTTTGAAAGTTTAAATATTAAAGCTCACAAAATTTAAGTTATAGTGTTTAATGCACAATAGCGAAAGACATAATTACTTAATGTGTACTATTTACCCTAATACCCTCACTACCAAATTTACAAATCAATGTTTAAAAGAAATTTATAGGAATAAAGATATGAATAAGGTTTATGCTCTTGAGTGATAAATTTACCTTTTAGATCAAAATGATTTATGCCTATTAACATATCATATGCAATATTTTTCGTGTGTATTTTTGTATGAACCAGCTTAATAAAAACATATTCTCTCAATCCCATAATGTTGTCCTAGAACGTAAAAATTGAGTTTACAACTATTTATATTGTATATCTTTAAAGGGGTGAAAGTTCGGTATTCGGTTTGAATTTTAAACTTAGAGCAAGATTAGTGTTTCGGGGTTTTCTGATGTCCTGCGGGAGAGTTACAATTCCGAGACTGGAACCGGACGTCTGTACCTGCAAAATAACGGAGACTCCTGAGAGCTCCGCCTCCAACGGTCAAGTTAGTACCTGATTAAGGAGTAATCAATACAGAAAGTAAAGTAATGAGATCTCTCTAGGTGAGAGTGCTTAGTGTTGGTAATCTGCGTCGTTAGCGAGATTAGCCGGTTGTTAATAAGTCTGTTCTTCTCTGCTTGATCTCTTAATTATTCGGTTGTTTTTTTGTGTTTTTTGATTAATGAGGATTAATCGAGTATTTATAGCCTTGGGAAGCGTGCAACTCTCTAGGCTTAAGGTAAACCTAGGGCTGATCGGGCCTCTAGACTGAAATGGGCCTTGATGGCCGGTTGTCCCACTTGGCATGGGTGGACACGTGGCGTGTCTTAAGTGGTCCGTGGAGGACGTATCTGTGACTGACACGTGGCAAGCTCCTGTTGGCCTTCGTGAAGGACACGTGGCGGAACCTGGTTGGTCCACTTGTCAGACGGTGATTGGTGGATAAAAATCCCCTAATCATTTGCCCCTCACAGGTGGCACGCGACTGGTCACGTGTCGCCTGTGACAGGTGTCGCACGGTGACAGGCGACGGCCCGTTACAGGTGTCACCTTGCAGACGGCCGAGAGATTTTCCCGCCCAAATTTGAATTTGGAAGCGACCCTTCGCCTTCTCATTTTGCCTATAAAAGGAAGTGCTGACTTCGGTCATTTTCACATTTGAGAACTTTTGCGAGAACATTCGGACCCCTGAACTTGCTCTGACATTTTCGGACTTTTTCTGCCTACCGCCTGTTCTGACAAGCCGACTGACCCGAACTTCCAGGACTTCATCAACCGTCACCCGTTCAGGTAACTCAGTTCTCTTACTCTTAATTTTCTTTTTATTTTTTGAAATGGCACCATGGAAGCACACGACACGCCCTAAGTTAGTGATCAGCCGGTCACCGGGGACGGCTGAATCTAGGACTAGGAGTGCCGCCTGCCCTTTTCTGGACCCATCTTTGCCCTTTATACAAAGTCCGACTGAATCTGTGTCTATGCAGAACGTGATGGCCAGAACAAAAAAGACTGCTATGATATCAAACTCAGACGGCTCCTCCCAAAGGGTGCTCCTTAGCGAAACATCTGACCAGGCGCCAGATGTAGAACGAGGCGACTGTCAAGCTGACAGTGCTGAGAGAGGGACCAAGGTGTTCCCTTCTCATCTAACCGTGGACATGTCTAATTTTCCTTCTGCTCCTTCTAAGGGAGAGGAGGCGGGCCCCTCTAGGAGAGGGGAGGAGTCGTCCTCTTCGGACTCGTCAGGGGACGAGTCCGAATCCAGCTCTTCTGACCATAGTTCTTCTGGCTCAGAAGAAAAACATAGCCGCCTACAAGAGGCGAGAAGTTCTCATGCAGTGGAGAAGGGGGATAATTGGGCAGAGCCGTCCGCCTCTTACAGAGAGGAAAACGCCCCCTACTACTGCAGGGTGCCCCGGGGCCGGATTGCAACCATGCGAGACAACGTGGCGAGCTTTATTGCTAACCACAAAATGGGCCCGGAGTATTTACTGTTTGTGCCGGATCCAGAAGATACTGTCGTCTGGCCGGCTGGTACCAGCTATGGTGACGGCTGCTTTGGCTGCTATGTGGCGGCCATCAAAGCTGGACTGCGCTTCCCATTACATCCGGCTGTTCAGCGGATTTTAGATGGGTATGATCTGGGGTTATGGCAGTTAGCCCCCAACTCTTGGGTAAACGTACTCGGCTATGTGGCCGGGTGCGAACTGAACGGGGTGGAGCCAAGTTTTGAGGCTTTCGCCCACATGAACTATCTCAGCCGGACCCCCAAGTCGGGAGGTACCGGCTGGTATCAATTGACAAGCCATAGGGGTTACCTCATGACGAGAGGTAAGGCAAACAAATGGAAGGATTGGCGGAACACCTTCCTTATTATCGAGAGTTCAGACACGGAGCTGAACAAACGTTTTAATAAGTGGAACAGGGATCCACCTCTTCTCGCAGGCGGCCGCAGCATGCCGCCTGTTCCCCCAAAGGCTAAAAAAGAGATCCTAGACAAAGGACTCTTCAAAGTAGAGACTAGGGTGAACTCTACTTCAGGGGTACGAGAACAAGTACCCCTAAATTGCGTCCCGAGCTTCAAGTGGCTCTATGACGAGTACTTCTTGGCCGCCTGTGGCCTCGGCAGTCGGTGCTCTAGAGGTAGCCGGCCTGACGAATACTCTGTTTTTTCACGCCTTGTTTACTTGGAATTTTTACTAACTTTGCTGTTTATTTCTTTCAGCCGACGCCATGAGTAAAATAACAGCATCTAAGACTGCGGCGGCCATGCTGCGGGTCTCAGTAATGAAGCAGTCGTATGTCGACTCCCCCAGCAAGGAGGCACCCTTGGTAAGCTTTGAAAACTCCTCCTTTTAGTTGTATTATGCATATACTAACTCTTTTTGTTTTCAGTCTGGCACTCCAAGGGCTTCTTCCTCGCAACAGCCGGACCCCAAGGCCCGGAGGACGACTGTTGCAAGCTCTCCTGGGTCTTCCAGGAAAACAGTGGCGGCTGAGAAGCAGCCGGCCACTTCTTCAAAAACCCAGGCGGGGCCGCCTAGATGTATGGACACTTGCTTGTAAAAACTCACCCTTGCTTCCTTCTTGATTAGGTCTAACTTGTTTTTTCCTTTCGCTTAATGCAGCCGGCCCCCAGGGACTTGACTTGGTTGAGGTAGCCAAGTCAATGGTTAAAATAGTTCCTCCATCTGACAGGGAGGCGGTCAAGGGTGCCGGCACCCTTGACCTCGATGGAATTTCGGGGATCCTAGCTGAGGTATACTTAGCACCTTTTTGAGCTTTTGAGTTCCAGGACGCCTGTTAACTCTTTTGATTGGAAACTGACGCCTGTTTTTCTTTGTACTTAGGCCCTGCTCCGAGTCAACAGCCTTCGCAAGC